TTTTTCTTCAGAAATTATTTTAGGAGCATCATTTCATAGATCATTTAACAAGTTTTAAAGGAGTAGTACTTTTTTTACATTGCATGAGAGCTGCACAACAGGGTTATGGTGACAATTTTAGAAGCATCCCTGAGGATACTGATGATACAAAGACATGCAATCAGAATTATGACCCTCTGCAAGGGGATGGCTCTCCTGCTTTGGTACCCCAACGACAATGAGTATAGTCAAGATGTTTATCAATTATTTTTTGCTTCTTAAAGTTTTATTCAAATTATACGATATAAAACCTTAATATTAATGCATAAATCAATAATAATTAAAAAGTTAATGATTATTTATAAAAGTTCTATTTCTGAAGTTACCTTAACATGTTGAATGCCACGCTAATTTTACATGGCTTTCATGCCTGGCCAAATGATTTTCTCAGTATGCATTGCATTTATTTCGTCAAAACATTTTAGTAACAATAATAATATAAAAAAAATTAAAAGCATTAAAAATTCACTCGAATTATGTGCTTCTAATAATCTTGGCTTCGCTGGTCAGCAGTAACCCCCACGGCATTCAACATGTTAAGTGTTTTTTGCTGGATAACATTAACAGTTCAGCTTTCAAAAATACTCCGCTATTTAAAAAATTAATTGGTGTAATTCCTCATTAAGAGCAAATTGAAAACTATTGCAAAATTTATGCTAACTCAGCACAGTCATTTAATGGAGAAACACAATATTTGAGAAATTTTTATGATTTGAAATTTTTTTTTTGCCATCAAATTAAAAGAAAACACCTTTTTTTAATAATAAATGTTTTTTTTTTTTCAAGTGTGTGTAAAAATTTTTTCAATTAGCTTAAAAAGTTTTTGAAATATGCAAAAATTAACATTAAGGGGTTTCAACTTTTGACTGCTGTCCAGAACAAACTAGAGGGACCATATTTTCCAGATTGTAGTTACCCTTTTAGATACAGTGGAACATCGTTTATATGACGCCGAAGGGACCACCGAAAAGCGTCGTATAAACGATAACGTCGTATAATCGATTTTTACTTCTAAAACTGAAACTTACTCTGTTTTCAGTTAATTTTAATGTTTATGGTGTTGATTTACATAAATTTCTAAATTAGACAAAGCAAAACAAACAAATAACCAAAGAAGAAAAATTGCAGTGAGCAATTTGAATGTATGATAGCTTTAATTATATTTTCTTGCTATTAGTCTCTACAATGCTTTGAATAGCGAGTTGAACTTATTGCTTTCTACTTGTATGATGCAATTGTAGATTTCTAATCACGGCCAAATCTAACGGCTGAAGTGCACTTGTGCAATTTGCAGGAAAAAAAGAGAGCTTTAACATTTTCCAAAATAATTAGTATCGATGGGTGCGCTGGACATTGGTTGATGAATAGCGTTTTTGCCTCTTCATAACATTGTTTAGTTTTTTCAGTCATCTAGTAAAAATTACGGTCGTCATCCAAGCATTCTTGTTGGCACACTTTTCTGTATCATTCATGTTGGCAAATTACACCAACACAAGAAAAAAGAAGAAAATTAAATAAACGTGAACAAAATCTAAAAACCGACGTATAACCGATTCTGTGCGTCGTATAAACGATATATTTTTGCATTAAAATGAATAGGAATGATTTGGGACCACACTAAAACGTCGTATAAATGTAAACGTCGTATAAGTGATCGTCGTATAAACGATGCTCCACTGTATTTCGAGGGTCAAGTATTCGTCAAAAAAAGTATGTTTATTACAAAGAAAGTATATTTTTGTGACTTGTTTCAAAACTTAAAACACTGCCTGTAGTAATTAATTAGCAAACCATTTGCAATCAAATTTGCAAACCATTGAGACTGAACAGAGTTCTAATCATAGAAGTAAATTAAGTACAGTGAATACTGTCAGATAATTTTTTCCCCAGAGTAAAACCACATAGCCGGAGGGGACAGTGCAATAAAAGGAAAATGATAAGGGAATTTTAAGCAAATTTTTTTAAATAATATGGAGATTTACTGTGCCACATTTAGTTATACAGAAAAATTTGTTAAAGGACTTTATGAAATTCATAGGTAAGTCAATCTATTACTTTTTGGAATTGCAATTGTTTTATTCACTATATAAACGAACTTTGAGCATGCAGTTCTTTTCTTTAAAATATCATACGAATCATGATTATTTCATTTTATTCATTTAAAATCCAATTTTTTTAAAAAAAAGACAATCTAGGGTGACCCGGGGTAATTCACGATCACTCTGTTTCTGGGGTAAATAATGATCACGTAAGTTTCATTTTAAAAAAAATATTTTTTTTTAAATATAAGACATGGACAAGAATGCTTGTACACTTTACTAAAGTATAACTACATTTACTTAATAATAGTTATTTGTTTAATCTAACAAAATAAGTATCTTTTAAAATGCTTTTTGTATTTTCTATTTCAAAGATGGGTTTCAAAATGTGCACATTTCTGCAAAGATCCTCCTCCTTCTCTTAATAATAAATATTTTGAGTTACTTTCTTTTTCTTTGATATAAAAATAGTGTAAGCTTTTGTTTAATTGTTTCACATCTACTGTAAACATTATAATTGATTATAGGAAACTATATCAAATGTTGCCCCCTACAGATGGGGTAATTATTGATCAATGGGGTAATTCCTGATCATTGTCATTTCTTCTTATAAATAGTATATAAAATAGCT